CTAAAGCTCCCTGCTTGCTTCTCATTCTGCTTACTTATAAGAAAACACTGTTTTAAGAATTGAAGAATGAGACAGTCCTTTCTTCTGCAGGAAAACGTGCTGCCTTTGTTCTAAATGCCCTGCAGGTTCTTTCCTTGTTTGTGTTTTTTTTTTTTTTTTTTTTTAGAGCTTTCATTATGTATATTACTTTAATTAATATGCAGTATAAGTTATGGATTGATATTGGCTCTTACTTTGTATAGTACATGGCTGCTCAGCAATTGACCTTTTCTCAGTATCCTGTTGTGGTTTTGGTTCAGTTCTTCTCTAGTGGTAATGCAATTGAGTCTGCTATGTCTAATAATTCTAATAATTTTCACAGAAAACAGTAACACAACCAAGCAGCAGAATTAACGAAGTCTAGTTTCCTCTGAAACTGTGTTTCTGCCCACACAAGTCTGTAACCCAGTTGTCAATTTCCATCATGTGTGCCAGAAAACACCCTCAAATTTCATCTGCTTTCTCTTAGAGAGTCCTTCCCCCCACCACCCCCCCAGTTCGTTTTTAAAAGAACATATTACTGGCCTCATCACACACCCCCTTCCCTCTCAAAGGTGACAATGTGGACTTCTGTATGCCACCCACACACTTTTTTTCTGGTAGGAGCTTCTCATTTTTGTGACCTTTCTCATGTTGCCAGTTTGGCAGAAGGCAGCCAGCAGGTTCAAGGGTCACTATGGAGAGGTTGAGAGGTAGGCAGCATGATCTCTTAAGCTGTATTTCTACAGAAAGAGAGGATAAAAACACAACATAATTAGAGTCCAAATTTTTTTGTCCATGGATATGTGTTTTTGGAGGCATATTTACACCACAGAGCTGGTGATTCTGTAGAGGAACTACTGAGTGTACTCCAACATACTGCACAATCCTAACATTTTACCTAACCTAACCCAACATAACCAAAGAGCTAACATTTTACCGTGCCACATTGAAGATGATAGAAATGTTTTAGATAATAGTTAATTTATCTAGCTGGCTGTGAGAAGCTGGGGACTGTGTTTAACCAAGACAAAAATTCCCTTCTATTTTAAACTGCTTGGAAGCTTGCAGAGACTTTGACTCCCTCACTGTTCCCTGTTTTCTAAATTGGCACATGTTGCCAGCAGTGCCTGCTGCCCAAGCAGTAGATGGCATGGCTTCCTGGAGGGCTGTCAGCACAGGTCTTTTAATCAGTCGGGGATTTGTCATTGAATGAAAGAAATCTCGCTCAGACATCTTTCAAGTGAATGGTCTCTGCAGAATTCCCAGCACAAGTTACCGTGAGAAACTGGGTAAAAAGGTTTTAGAAATCAAGCTCTGATCACAAGCATGTTGGGATTTACAGGGTCAGATCCAGTATTGCTGAGGGCAGCAGAAGCTTTACTATGGATGTCAGGGAGTGCAGGATTAAGCCCATTGCCACTTAGCTCCCATAGTGAAAGAAACCTTAGAAATTTCTGAAGTATAGTTGATGTGCTGGACTAATTTCAAGCTTAAATTTGGACTAGTCTGTACAGCAAGTTTAACACTGTTTTAAACTCTAGTGAACTGTCTTTTCTCCTAAAAACAAGGCATTAAACAATATATATACATACACACTTAACGTATTGGAGGTATGGTGCTGTTTTGCAAATTCTCTTCCTTATTATCTAGAAGAAATGACTGCTCACCAAAGAGGATTATTTTCCACTCTTGTGTTTGGAAAATGCTGCTGTTCTTTAGTGAAGAGCCCTTGCAGACACTCAGGCTTTTTTTGAGGTCAGAACTCTGCACGACGTGCTGCAGTTTGTTGCTGGCACATCATCATATTAATGCTTCTGGTAGGTTTCTCTAAAGCATCTCTGTGTTTTGAAGCTGAGGAAGAAGTGGAGTGCTGTAGCCCCATGTCAACATTTGCTTTCAGGCATCTCAGGAAAACCTGCTGCACTTTATATAGAAGTCTAAGGTCTTTGTCAAAAAAAAAAAAAAAAGTGACCTTTAAGCAGTGTGTATGTCAGTAGAACACCTGTTAAAGATACTTGCAAGTGTTTTTCATGTTTGTTTTTTTTTTTTCTAGAAAAGCAAAATGGGAAATCAGCACTGTACTACTAAAAAAAACTATGTAAGACAAATGTTATAGACAAAAAATATTGATTAGCACTAGAGCACTGTGTGTTTTTAAAGTAGACCTATGCTTAGGAACTGTTTCTTTTCATTTGAAGCCATTTTTCATTTTAAAGCTCAGTGGCGCGGTCTGAATGTGGCAGGCTAGCGAGCAGGTCGCCAACTGAGGCTCAGAGTATCTGGGCCCATTCTGTGTTCCTGCAGTTCATCTTCCTAGGTACCCTTACGCAAGCTGTTTTTCTTTCCCCTCAGATTATGTGTGTTTTGTTAAGTAGTTTCTCTTGCCACTAAAAGCCTTTCAATAGCTGTGTGTTGGCCTCACTCGAAGTGGCACCAAATGAGGTACTACAAGTCACATGAAAGACAATATTTTTGCTGTTCAGAATCTTAGAACTCCAAAAGAGTTTTGCAGCAGGTGTTGTTGTACTTGATTGTACAGGGAGGTGAAATAAATTGTGTCTGCTTGCAGTAGGGGAAAGTGCCATTTCAGCCCATTCAGAAAATAAACAGTTTATTCTTTCAGCACCATGGCTGCTTTTACATCCAAATAGCCCCTCTGAAAGGACCTTCACCTGGCAGAGACCTGAAGAATAACCTAGCCAGATCTGTGGGACTGAGCAGCATGCCAAATTTGAGTGATCCTGAACATGCAGTAGACACAGGGTTAGAGCAAGTCTTGTTTCAACAGCTATCGTAGTTTAGAGGGCTCAGCTGGAGTTCCCAATTTTCCTTGGAAGGTAGTCAAAGAGCTCAATTTTCTGTTGATACCATAAAGAAAGTGTACAGTAGATAACATCAGATTCCTGCTAACCTGGATAAAAGCAGCGATATGGCTGGAAAAAAGGCTTCAGGAGCATCTTACCAATAAACCCTAAAGGAAGAGACAATTTCTGGAACTTGCTGTTTTCCAGTCCTAGGGGTGATGTGGGTCACAAGATCGATGACTAATGGGCCACTGTCTGACAAGCCGTTGTCTCTGGATCCTTGAGAGTCCATGGGATCCACACAACTATCTAAGAAATATAAGCCTATTGCCAAAGGCCTGTTTTTGCTAAACAAAACAAATATGTAAAAATATACATATCTATAAAACATGTATTTTCTGTGCCAAACAGGAAAAGGTTGAAAACTGAAGATAAAAGTACAACTCTGCAGTTTGAATGGGGACATGGAAGAAAAGAGCTTGAGACCTTAATGACTCAACCAGACAACCTGCCTGTCCCCAGTGTGCCCTAGAGGGCAATCCTAGGAGATAGATAGTCTTTCACTGGCCTTTTTTGTCATTTCTAATTTCTTTGATTCTGTACATTTCCACATTCTTTAAATAGAATAGGACTCCTATCAATCTCTTGATCTGTCCTCCTGGCACACACAGTGACAGTCCTCTGTGCAGATGGAGTCAGGGGAGTTTTAGTGCTGTATTTCGTTTTTTTGTTTTTTTTTTTTTTTTTTTTTTACCAAAAAAAAAAGCATGTCCAAACTGCTTTTGGATTCTCCGCCCCCATCATTCTGCTACCTCTTCCCATTTCTTTGCTGCTTACATTTCATGACTTCTCTCCTGCTTGTAAGATATATGCTTTATTTTATAATGTTTCTCATGCACTAAAACAAGTGCTAAGTCAAGCAGTTACCAGAGCTGGAGGATCTAACCTTCCTCCAATCGGCACAGCCATCATGTAATAGCCATCATGTTACCTTTAAGTATAGATTATTATTATTGAGCGTGTATTACCTTGGCTGTTTGCCCAGCATGTCCTTGATAACTGAGGGTCACAAAAAAAAAGAGTAATGTTCCAGTCCTACTTAATAAGACATAGGATCAGCATGATTAAAAAGGCCTTAGCATTCAAGAATCCTTTAAATTTGGCACACAAAATTAAATTTTAAAAGTGGTTTAAATTGCTTTTCATGAATAATTGCTATTAACCCTTATTCCCATTCTTGTCCCTTCACGAGACTATTATTGATCCCCTGTTCCTTGGTCACTAAGATATCGTTGGATAATGTGTTGGGGATTTCAGGCACTAACAGGTTTATCAGAGTAATGGAATTCTTTAGGTAGCAGGCAAAATGGATGAATGGATGCACAAGTGGCTTGATGCTGCCTCTGAGGTGGGAGTAATGCCAAGTAAGGCATTTTGGGTGTGATACTTTTAGGCAATCATTTTCCTGATGGAATTACATTCCCCTGGTGTGGGAGGGTTTGTTACCCCTGAGAATGACCCTTTTATAGTATTTCCTAGTAAACCGTTTGACACAACTTGCTTTCTGAGATTTCTACCCCCTTTAAGTGTTTTCAAAAATCACACACTGGTTAGTTCAGGACCATGTCCCGGGTAACTGGTGAAGAAAATGGCAAATTCAAAGACAGTTCTGATATCACAAGTGTTTGGCCACAGGGGATCTTGCTTATCCCAAGCAAGATTTATTTTTCAAGTAGAAGCTAAAGCATAGAACAAACAAACAAAAGCCCTTGATTTGTTTCTAGCTGAGGTAGCCTGGAAAGAAAGTTGCAATGTGCAAATCTAAGGAATATACAGAAATGGTGACTGAAGTGAGAAGAGAAAATCTGGAGTAAAGTGGCCTTTGTCATAGATTCCCATGTTTTGTGTTTAGGGACTAGGAATGTGGACTTTCTTGTGTTAGGTGATCCTCAGGCAAGGCTGGATGGGTATTTGAGAAATGGGAGAGATTGTATTTTCAAAAAAGGTCTGTCTCTTTCAGACACTCATGCAAAGGAACTAAAGCTAGCAATGATAACATTATTAGTCCATGTGTGACCTACATACGTCCTCTTTTCCTCTAAAGTCTTTGTCAGCACAATAAATTTCCATCATTTTTGCAAATATTCTCCCTCATCTATGTATTTTCTATTGTAGGTATTATGCAAACCTAACCAGCACTCCCTAAATTACATTGCCTTTGAGTCTTTCCCTGCGCAAGAGGGCATCTGTGATGGGGTGTAACTTGTGGTCAAGACACTGAGGAGAATTAAAAGGTGTGAGCATGACACTGCATTTGCTCTTACTGCTTGCCACAGGCTGCCTTGGGAACAGCACAATGGTATTGTTTGCCAGCTTTCAGAGAAGAAACTGGTTTTATGAATGCCTACCATGCGCATAAACAGACACTGTGAGATTTGGCAGACAGAAGCAAGTGATGACAGGTTGTGATCAAATTATTCCTTTATATTTTCTACCAACAAGGATCATCCAGATTCATTGGAAAGCAGATACTGGAAATAGAAAATGCATTTTAGAAAATACTTTAATCGAGAGTACCCAAGTTTGCTAATTCTAATGCCCAATCGTTTCAGCTTTAGAATTCTCTTTATTATCTTCATCTTTATTTTTGGTCCCTTCTCAGCTTAGTGGTTGTGAAGAAAGAAAAAGAAAAAAAAAGCAGCCTTGGCTAGCCATTTATATTGAAGCAGATCATGAGTGCAGCTTGTCATCAAAGCAGTGGGCTCTGCTGTATTATTTGTGCATGGTTTAACTGGAAAACCCATCTAGTCAAGAAAACCAAGCTCTAGATGAAGCCAAAATAAGGCACAGGGACTGAGACAAAGCTTACCAGGACCATGAACGCTTGTGGGTTGTAGGCTGAGGAAACCCGAGACCAACTCAGGATGCTTTGATTTCCATTCAGAGTCTGACCTTTCCATCTGAAGTTGGTCCCAGCTTACTTTGGAAAAAGTAGTTTTATCTAGAGAGATTTGAGACCTGAATGGCTAGGTCTTCTGTTGTAAATCAGTACCTTTCCATTTACAATTGTACGTGGGACACACTGAGACCATCTTTCTGTGTTTCTGAGCGAGCTTGTACCAGCTATGACTGCTTCTAATTTTGATACACAGTTAAGATGTTCGAGTCTGAGAGTTTTGTTCATACCCAGCTTCTCTTTTTCACTTGGAACAGAACCTACACCCAAGAAAAATGTTTGAGTGGACTTCTGGAGCATAAGCACTTTATCAGGAGATAACAACCAGGGAATAAGTGCCTCGCCCGGAAGGTGAGCTGACAGAGCTTGCTCTTACTGCTTGCTATACTCCCTTCAAAACTGCAGGTTTTTGATCTTGCATCATGTGCAGCTCCAAGAAATGAGGCTACACACATTCATTTAATAGTATAGCTCCCTCGTGATATCTTCGCTTTCCTTAATGAGGGCAGTGTTGCTAACTTGTTAGGAGCCTGAGGACTGTATGAAATTAGCATCACGTGTAGGAGAAATTAACAAAGAGGAGCTCCTTGCATGAAACTGAATGAGATCACTGATGGCCCTTCCTTCAATATTTATTTCTATATTAAGAAAGAAATATTAATAAGGATAATGTAGAACACTCTTACTCAAAACTCAGATGCCCTTGTTTTTATTCAGTAACCTGAATGACCAAAAGTAATTAATCCTTCTCAATAACAATTACACGAGTAAAGCAAGCATGATTTGGGTTAACTATGAAGGAGAAAGAGAAGAGACACTGGTATTGGTAAAATTATTGGGGAGAAATAACAATCAATAAAAGAATAAGTTTTGCATGATAAATTCGGTTGTGTTTACACATGAGTAAAGTGAAAGCCACACAATTGTCTCAGTAAGATAATGCAGTGCTTCTGCTATGAAATCAGAATGTAGCTCTTTCCACAACTCATCCTAAAGCACAAACTAGCAGAAGTCAAAGAGAAAACAAAAGGAATGTAGGAGAGACAGAGACAGACAGTGGATTCATGAAGTAAGGAGAGTTTCAAGAGACAGTCATAGTATGTTTTTCTTTAAAAAAATTTTCTTTGCAAACTGTGGTTGACAAAATGCACCTTCTCTGCAGTCATTTGTCAGCCACACTTATCACCCTTCTACAAGCACAAAAGGTACACGGAGATGTCAGCAAACTGGGAAGGTGTGTGAAATAAGAGCCTGTGTAATGTTTGTAAAGATCAATTTGCTGCAGCCTTGGCCTTTTAGTGGTTGTAGCTTGATTGTGCAACAACCGCTCCTAAAAGGGGCTGAAGGGGCTGTAAGCACTCACTGTGGGACATCAGTTCTGCAGTGGCAGGGAGGGCAAGGTACTGCTTCCACACAACCTTCGTTTGTGGTTTTACTGTGCGAAGTGGGTGAGTCATTGCTGATGGATCCAGGGAGCTGTGTGCCCAAGGATGATCAGTGTGCTGACAGTAGCAGAAGTTCTTCAAAATAATGATTATTGCTAAATCTCTCTCTCTCCCTTTTTTTTTTTTTTTCCTTTCTCTGGCAGTCTTCCTCTCCCCTTCTGTGGTTCTGGAATGCTGGAGGCAAACTCTCCCTTCATCCCTCTGCCTAGGGCCCACGTCCAGGTGCATCTTTCCCTGTCTGCTGGTGGTTATTGCAGCAAGGGGAGCTAATAAGGAAATGAGCCAGTCCACAGAAATCTGCTAATTAACCTTGGGACACACCTGGTTTTATCTTGTGGCTGCAAACAATTTTATCAAAAGATCCCTAAGATCAGCAAAACTACCTCCCTTCCAGTCTGTCTCTAGGCACCCAGGCTGTGCGATGTCTCCGAATCCAGGAAGGGGCCCTGCCCAGCAGCAGTTTGTACCAGTAAAGTCATGGGCTGGTTTTGGAAATGACGTGGTGGAAGCCCAAGCTTGGGTTGGCTTTGGCAAGGTGAACGTGTGGGCACTGGTCCCCAGAGGATATCACCATTTGGTGCTGGTGGCAGCGCTGGTAGAACTGGGGGGCTTTGCTTCCACTTGTCAGCAGAAGGCTACAAAACACTCTAGTCAAAACCCACTTGCTTAAAGACAGCTCCTAGTGATGGGCCAGATAGGCTTGTCTTGCTTCTTACTGTTCCAAAGGCATGATATACAAATGTAAACGTAAAGCCTTACAAGTTATACCCTAAACCAAACATAAGTTTGGGGAGTGATGCTCCTGTGGGGAGAAGTGTTAATTAGTGACACCTTCTGCTACAAAGTCCAGCGACAGACGGGTCTTACTGTAAATGAGTGGTTGGTCTGGAAGGACTATGCTCTGGGGAACCTGCAGGAGTTAGACAGATCTAGCTATGCTGATTGGTAATAATCTGTGGACAGTGAACACAGGACCTAAGGTTTGACAATGAACCATACAGACAAAACAACAATAAGATGTGCTTTGGAAAAAAGACTGCAAGCTTTTGTCTTTATTTCTTTTTAACAGTATCATGGTCAAGTGTGATGCATCTTTCTCTTGCCAGCATCAGAAGGGAATTTGTCAAAAGAATTTTCCAGATTCTGCCACAGAATATTGATGAGATCATAGTCAAGTCACAGAGTTTTGTTGTACTTTATAGCTTGAGGACAGTAATATTATGGTCGTCTCTGTGTGCTTTATCTGTTTTATACCAGAAGCTTTTGATCTACATCTGCCACGACTAGCTTTCAAGCAGTCATTAGAAATAAACAAGCAAAAAAATATTTTCTTCCCCAAAGTTGGAAATATTTTGTTGAAAATCTCTAGTCTAAAGAAGACTTTAAATTTTCAAGTGGAAACTTGAAGTTTGCTAAGAAAACTAGACATTACGTACATTTTTTTCCTGAACTCTTCATTTTCTATCAAAAAAAAAAAAATCTGTAATAACCAAGCCTGGTGGACATAGTTCTGGGATGCAGAACTCCAGGATTCAAAAGAAGACAATACATGTTTAAAATAGGTTTTCTCTATTTTAGTGAACGCCCTGCACCCTCTGCTGTTGGCTGTCACAACACATACAGCAGCTCGTTCCTTGGCACTTCCTTTTGAGTGGCCCAGGCTGAGGGTCTCTGCTCGATAAGCTGCAGTGGTTCCTGTCCTCTAGCACCCTGTCGAGCTTCTAGAATTTGAGAATGCAAAGAAATGCTCTCTGATCTGCTCCGTGAGGTAGGAATAGCACCTCATCCTCCTCTTCCACTTCACTTTTGTATTCATGAAGTATTTGGGCAGTTCCTATCTTCACCTATTTGACTGCTTCTAAGTGACAGGGCCACACATCTTGTCAGTCTCCATAAGCTCGTACCAGCTCAACTCTTCAGCTCGTTTCTGCCTGCTGGTGATGGTTACCTGATTACAGCCTTTCCCCAGCTTTTGAGTTCTGTTTTTTCTGATAAATTTTGGTATGACGGTTTAGGGAAGGAAGGGGAATGCCAAGGAAGCTGCCCAATTTTCTGTACTGAGAATTGAGGTTATATAAGACTCATAGGCATCCTGGTAATGTCAGCAGGGTCAGGTGGCGGGGAGAATTGCAGTAGGGCAGGACTGTGGCTGACAGAAGGGGCACGTAGGCGCAGGCAAACCCCTGAAAACATGTTCAAGAACCAATGAGTAATAGCACTCTGTCCCCGTGCATACTCACGCTGGCTTTGTGCATGGGCAACAAGTCCCTAAAACAGAGCTATCAAAACCACAAGTGAATGCTTGCATTTTCTGGAATGAGCTTTTATTGAAATACTTGACGTTTAGTTCCTTTGCTAATATACTTTTGTCACTTCAAAGGGCTGTTACGCCTTGTCTGGTGTCTCTTGGGGGGCTTTCTGTGGTGTTTTTAAGAAGCAATCCATGTAAATACAATGCTCAGGCAAAGGCTCAGGCTCAGGCTGCCTGAGGTCAGCATCACAGCCCCACCTGGGAAGTACTTCTGGTCAACATAGTCTATAATGGTTGTCACAGCCAACATAGTCTCCTCGCATGTGGGCTGGATCTGGTCAGGAGGTAGAACAAATCCATAAGTACCTTTGTCTCGCAGTTCAAATGTATAGGAGAAAGGAATGCCAATCATGTGAGCCCAGTCCCGTGAGGAGCCTGAGTTATTGTCTGTGAATTTAAAAATAGAGGGGAGATATATGTATTAAGCATTGCTCTTTGAAATACCTCTTGCTATAGTTAATGCAAGGTTATACCAGAATCCCTGAACTAAGCAGTAATCATACATCACTGTGACATGGAGACCAGCATTTCTAGTTGCTCCAGTTCTTAAAGTCTTCCATGGAGTTTCCTAAGTGAAACAACTTTCCATAAGATGATATTGTACAAGAGATGAGTTCCACAGATTTTGTGTTTATAGCTTTTTGCCATGATCAGTGTTGGATACAAGGTGGATAGACCATTTTTCTGTTCTGGTACTTCATTTCCTACATTGACATTGAACTTCTCTGTATATTTTTAAACACATATATTTTTAAACATGATTTTGTTCAAGCCTGAAAAAAATTCTGGCTACTCCTTGTATCATTGTTTATCTGCCTCATGGATCTTTTTTTTTCTTATCCATTCAGTTTAAGTACAAACCCTGGCAACATGCAGTCCTAGGCATGGACAAGTTACCTTAGATTTACGCCACATTGCTCATGCAGAGACTGGCATAGACAGACATTGTGAATATGCAAAACCACGTGTGTACTGAAGCCAGCTACTTACTGTTCTGAGTGCCTGGCATGACTTCCTGCTTGGTGGGAAAGGATTGTTTTTACCAGGCAGTCTCTAGGGCCCTCAAGTCCTCTGTGTAAAGACTGTGAACTAAGATCAGCTGTAGTGGTGTGTTTGTGATGTGGCTATCTGCTATAGTTGGAATGAGGCTGAAACTGACACATTTCACACCGAACTGCAGGCAGCTGCAATGTGATAATGTCTGATGGAGTAGACCTGATTGGGATTTTAATTTTTGCTTGACTCCAGTGAAGACAAATAGGAGTTCTGCTGCTGACTTCAGCAGGGTCAGGATGATCTATCACCAATCTCTCTATGTCCCCTGTGATGTATCTGTGAGGAATTCATGTAAGAACTGGCTTCTGATCAATGCTTCTTTCCTTCCTGCAGTCAGCTTTATGCGGTACAGTGTTATCTTGTATTCAAATGGCTGTTACTTGGATGTTCCAGCAAACCAGCCAATTAAATATTACTCAAAGAAGGACCTTGGCAAAACAGCACTTGCTGATGTCTATGACGCAAGAATGACTCTCTTCTTTGAAAAACAGAGCAATTAAAGGGGAAAATAAACTTACATAAAATTGAAGAGGTTGATCCTACTTTATAACTGGTCCCATACTTTCCCATCAGGGCAGCAGCTGCTTTCTGTGCAACTTGCATCTGTATGTTCAAAATACAAACAGCATTTTCGTCAGTACCGGTAAAGTTGGCAATTATTCCGAGTAGTCCAAAATCTGTATCTCTTTCAGCTATAAGTTTACTTGTGATCAGCCTCAAGTTTTATTTCTATTAGTTCAGGACTCTAGACAAACCCATTACAAGCATTTAGGCGAAATGGTCTTGATTTTTTTTTAATGCAAATTACATTTTAAAAAGATAACTGTTATTAGGTGGAGAAGATACTGTTTTTGTTTTAGTGCTAGAGAGATGCATTTTGGAGAATTAGAGCCTATGCTGCATAGCAAACTGAGTCTGACTAGAGCAGTTATCGATCTCTTACAATTCTCCTATTGCTATGGAGTCGGTGTCTCACTGTCTTTAGAAACTGAACCATAGACAGACTGAATCACTTCTCCAGTGTCTGGTATGAACTCTGAACCCAGGTCCTACATGTTCTTCACTAGTGCAACAGCTGTGGGAATGTTCATAAATACGCATTTTAGTGAACTTAAATTAAACCACTCAAAAACCAAGGGAGAATAGTAACCAAAATGTAGGTGTCTACTTTGCTCCCATTCTCCTAATGAATACATTTGGAGTACCCATTCTGGATACAACCCTGACAACCATGTGCATGTAACATACCAGCATCCTGAAGTGCAAACACATTCCTGCATGCAGCAAATGACTGCAGGCAGAACTTGGTGCTCTTCTCTGCTTACCTATACTGCACTGTAGTAACACTGTGTGTAATGATTCACTTTTCCTACTTTAAGATGAAAGATTAGGGTTAATTCTGAGACAGAGAAGCCTTGCTGGTACTGCCCATACAAGAGACAATTGATAAAGTTGAGGAGACCACAGCCCAGCATGAGGGCAATGAGCATGCTAAAGCCCTGGAGACCTGCCTCAAGGGAAGTTTTCTTTAAAGAAGGATCAACAGCTCAAAGAGAGTTGTGCCATGTGCTACTGCTTGTACTAATTATCTACTGGTATAAAAGATGAATGTTTTGCCCTACCAGTTCTTCGTTGTTACTTGGAGGTGTGGTTGTGGAACCATACGGAGTGAGGATGTACTGTCCGTAGGAGTGTACTGTTAAGTAGCACAAAATATCACTCTTCTTCTGTTCAATAAGCTGGGCCACAGCTCTCGTCTCAGGCTCTGATTCTGGTCCAGATCCACAGAAAACTTCACTGGTGCAGTTAAAAGAAACACCAATACCTGAAGAGGAATACAAAAAGTGAATTAAAGGAGAAACATATTAACTCCACTTCATAGGGAGATTTACCTGGGGGTGTTCAGGTGTGTGTGTATGTGGGCAGTGAGACTAGAAAGCTCAGGGGGACTTGAATGCTTTACACTCTTGCTAGCAACTAAAATTTGAAAATTATGAATTATTTTACACGTATTTCCAGGTTGGCTGCAATGAAATCACTGACACAACAACAGTATACAACCTGCCAGCGAACTTTTGGAGGCTCCTTGAAATTCATGGCAGATACAAATGCTGGCTGTTAACTGAATGACTCCTAACATTTGTGATGCTTGCTCCTGCAGTGAATTAGAAGTACAGTTGTGTAAGCATTAATTTTCTGCTTCCGGAAGTAAATGCCAGTTGAAAGTCAATTGCAATATTTTTACAAACCAGGTTTTTATTTTTACGTGTATCTTGGTGACAATGGGATGAGTATTCCTTTCATATAGGATTTCATTTTATTTCAGAGACTTGTTATTATTCTTGCTTTATTTACTGTATACATACTGTAAGCATTTATTATATGTTGCTGACATGAAACACTTGGAACTTACTGCCCCAGGAGGAATTAAAATTTCGGTTCAGATCTGTCCCGTAGCAGGTGCCATTCATATATGGTGCACGGTTTTTCCTCCATAAACGTTCCTAAACAAAAGTAATTCCAGTTAAATAACTGCAACTCGATGATCCAAAGAGACTAATGATAGTATGGCATTGCACGCCTTTTATTTAGACCTCTGCATTCTTGAGTAACTCTTGCATTATAGGGGACTCTGTTCAAGGGTGATAAAACTTAGTGATCAAACATCTTATTTATTACTGCCATGCTGATATCTTCCACAAGCCTTCATGCACCTTGAAATGAGCTTCTGAGCTTTTAAAAAACAACAGTATTATTTCTGTAGTACCGAACTGCTTCCGTGCAGTGTTCCACTTCTAAGAAGGACCTGACATTGTGAGGGATACTTCTTTGTCCAAAAGAGATGATAGCTGAACTTATATTTGTTTCAGATTCACGAAGATGAATGCTTTTTTTTTTTTGCCATCTAATCTAGCTGCTCTTTGATTCATTGTTAAACTCACTGCCATGCTTGGTTCCTGCAGGACTCACTGCTCTGCCTGTATGAGCCTCCTGGCTGAATTACCAGTGCATCCAAGTGCAGTGTGTGGTGTGCTACCAACCTGCTGGGGAGTAAGTGGAGACACAGCAGGGTCCATGTGGCAGTAGACTGAACCTTTTGGGCCGTGTTAATGTTCTGAATTAAAAGATGTTTCTATATTTCGCATTGTTCTCCATATCAGAAAAGGAAGATTATTTGGGAGAGCACACCTATTTCAAAGCCAGATAGCCTAACATTTGACCTAGTCTTCTGCCCTATGCTGCAAAGCTGATTAGATCTGTCTGCTAGTTGAGACTTCTTGCAAAGTACGTACTGACTCCTCCAGACATGCTTAACTCTATCATTCAAGCCTTGAGCTGTTAGCATTCCCAGAAGCCTGAAAGCAATGGATCCCGTGGTTTTGACTTTCTATCTTCCCAAGGCTCATGACATTTGCTAGGAATTTTTTGCCCTCTGATCTCAAATGACTGCTGATTTACCAGAAGAAACAAAAACTCTCTGCCACAGGAGGATTTGTGTGAGTAATGATTCTGTCACTGTTCTCTGTTTAAATATAATTGCTATGACTGTGTCTAAAATGAACAAAACATGCTGTGCACATCTAAATTTCAGTCTGGTCCTGGATTTTCACTACTTACTGCTTCCCAGGAATAGATATAACCATCAATGTTGATGACTGGCAAGACGTAGAGATCCAGATTCTGAAGAAATCTTCTTATTGTTGCATCAGATTCGTAATTTTGCAGAATCTGAAAATAAAAAATACAAAGGACTGAACAGAAGAGAATATAGTGGTAATCACTGTAAAGAGATGGTTTAGAGATGTCATCAAAGAATCACTCACTCCTGGATATTACTGTGGTATCCAAGATCTACTTGATCCCCAGATATATTGAGAGATCTACCTTCTGCCATTAACAAAGTGACAGTGTATCCAGTTGTAGTGCACTTCCTAGGGTGCAGAGAATGAAAAACATGATGCCATAGGCATTGTGCACCAGGTACTTTAGAACATTGCTGTACTGCATTTTTAGGGATGTTTCATTCCAGGGGGACTGTGTCTTTGTGATACAGAGAGGCTTGATCCAAAAGCCACCATGGAAAAGGTAGAAATTGCTGTCTAGTTAAGTGTCTTTGGAATCAGTTTAGATAGAGGATACGACGTGCTAACAAAGATTGTCCCATATCCCATCTCAAACTGTGATTTGGACTTAGGTTTCTGTATTGTGTACTATTTTTGAACATCATATTTTAACAGGAAAAGCATAATGCTTGGTACCACTGTAGAGAAGAAAACTGAAGCATTCAAAATTATCTGTGTTTTTTATTATTTTGGTGGAAAAGATAGGGC